ACTTACCCTGAGAACAGTTAGGACAAAAAGCAGAAGAGCCCAGAGAGGACTTCAGGTGCTTTCCGGCTCCACATCCTGACCCAAGCATCTGGGGGTCGTGGGAGTGAATTCGGCAAGGCACTGCCTGGCAGACGAAACAGGCAGTAGGGACTGGGGGTGGTGCCTTGGGCCCCCTCTTGGCTCTCAGCTTCTTTGATTTGGCCTGGAGAACGCAGCCTTCTCGATTCCCATCCAAGCTTGAGGAGTGTCTTTCTGGCCATGGCCTTTGTGGCTGGGCCCAGGCTCTCGTGGGCACTCACGTGGTCTCACCAGACTTTAGAAACATGCTTGAGGTTTGAGGGAGAAGCAGGACGCAGCCTACCCGCTCCTCCCTGTTGCTTTCTCAGGGGAGTCCATTTCAAAGTCAGCAGTCCAAGGGAAAGGGCCTAGCGTGAAGTGTACCCTTGAAAGTCCTTTCAGTTGTTGAAAGTAGATGCAGGTGTCTGGGCCTGCTAGCAAAACAGAAGATTCCGAGGGCGGAGTGGGATACTAGCAGAAGTCAATTTCAGTGTTTAGAAAGCCAGTAAGCGGCATCGGCTTCCCCAGATCGCCACCCCCAAAATGTAGGCAAAGAGAACACCCTACTTTTTCTTCTTTGCCATTAGCATATATATACTAGGGGTTGACAAACCGCAGCTCTTGGGTCAATCATGGCCCCCCGCCTGTTTGGCAAATGAAGTTTTATGGGAACACTTCTATGCCCATTTGCTTATCGTCTATGGCAGCTTTTGTGCTACACTGGCAGGTCTTAGTGAGAAAGAGCCCACAAAGCTGAACATATTACCTGGCCCTTTAGAGGAAAATTTGTTTGACCCCTGGTATATCATCTTTTTATGTCTGTAGCCATTTTTATTAGAATATGACTATCCTTTATATATATGACTTTGTCGTATATGCTGAAAATGTTACACTATGTTTGGTACACAATTTTTATATACTTAAGATCAGTTTGCTTTTGCCTTTCCAATTTCAGGCTCAGTAGTCACCCTGAGGTTATTGATACATTCTCCATCGGGCTTCTCACCAGGGCACCTCTCTCTAAGGATGAGCAAGGGTCAAGAGCAGAGTCTGCCACAGCCTTTCCTTGACTTTACACAAATGGCACAGAGGATTCCGGGTCCCCAAAAGAAAGAGGATGAATACTGAACTTCATGCAGAGGCTATATCATGTACAAGTTAATTAAATGAGCCCTGAGTTCAAATCCCAGTCACTCTCCCTAGCAGGTGAAGGAGATCTGTCTGCCCGTCTCTACTTCCTCATCTATAAAATGGGGATGAGGTGTTACTAGGAGTGGTGTGAGCATTAAGTAATAGTCCCTGGCACTGGATGGGGCCTGGCACACAGCTCTCAGGAAATGTGAATGGCTCGTATTCTTTCCTAGAGAGAAAGGCTCTAAACAAGTAACAGATTAGCAACCCATTTGTCAATCGAATGACAAAGAAAAATCACCTTTTTTAAACCAAGGGACCTAGGCTGATGGTGCAGGGCCCTTGGGTGGGGGTGGGGCATGGCAGGCTAATGCAGGCATTAAGCACCTGCTGTGCCTGGTGCCATGCCTGAGTGGGGCTACTTGAAAATTCAGTACTTGCTTTTGGGGGGCAGTGAGGGCACCATGGTAGGAATGTGGGGCGGCTTCCAGCAAGAGGCAGCATTGGACAGGGGCAGGAAGGGAAGTTAGGATTTGGAACAGCGCACATGGCCCCGTTTGGGAACAGGCAGGAGGAGAGGCACGGTGGCTGGCCTAGGGTAGATTACTGGAGGAATAAAATGCGGATGGCAATGATACAGGAGGGTAGTTCACATCCAAACCTCAGAGGCCGACTTGGGGGGCCAATCCTGGCTGTGACCTGAGGTTTCCTGATTCCTTTCTAAGCGTCTGTATTTTGTTCATAAGTAAACGTTATTAGGTACTTTCTAGGCACCAAGGCAGCATCTAAGGGCTATGGGGGAAAGGAGAGCATCCAGGCAGCAGGGGACAGTGAGGAGACAGGAGCATGACTGGGCTGGGGCTGGCCACAAGGCGGGGCTTTGCCAGGGAGACTGAGGCTTGTTGATGTGAGAAGGAAAAGCAATAGACTGGTGAAAGCACGGTGCTACCCAGGGGGACAGCGTGAGGCAGGGGACGAGGACAGGAGAGGTGGCAGGAAGGGCACTGGGGTCCCCCTGCACCCTGGTACTCGAGTCTGCAAACGTAAGTGGTTAGGCAGAGACCTCCTCTCAGAACTTTAAGCCCAACATGGCTCCACTCTGTCACCACCACCTAAGAGGCATTTCTGTTCTAGAACTTTCTCCTTGTTGGCAGTCAGGGGAGCAAGTGCCAAGATTTCAGAAAGAGGAGGTTCCTACCCAGAGAGGTTTTGGGCCACCTCACCACCCCCAATAGTGAGAAAGTCTAAGTGCATAGGTCACTGAATTTTTCAGATGCAACTCTTCACTTCTATCCAAAAGTAGCTCCCCCAAAGCAGGACCATTTTCATCCAAGGGGAGGGAAACACACTTTGGCCTGCTTGAAAAGTTTCCCTGCTTCCCATCCCCTGCCCCAGCCCTGTGTTCTGAGAAAGGAAGCAGCCCTGCGAGAGGGCCTTGGTGCCAGCGTCTCTGCCTACCAGCTATTTTTAGAAAGCTGAGGCTGTGGAAAGTTTTCATTAAGGATCAACTCCTCTCACTTCCTAGGTTGAGAAAACAGGAAGCCCTTCAGAATCCGGGCTTTGAAAAGCTTTGCATGAGGCTGCCCCAACCCCACCTGCCCCAGGCATTCAGCTTTCACTACTTAAGTCCTACACAGCACCATCAGCTCATCCCCGCTGCAGGGGCACAGGGGATCGGGGCTGGGGGCTGACAGACCTTATTCAGCGTCTGGCTTAGGGCTCCTGGGAGTCAGCTGTTACCCAGTACACAGTAGATGCCCAGTTAGTGCTGGTTAGCTAAACATATGAATTCATCCTTTGCATTCCTATTAATGAATCCATTTCCACATGGTGGAACAGTTACACATAATGTATGTATTTCTAATATGTAGATATCTAATACACATATACTGGTCTACAAAGCAGTACTGACTGTGCCTGGGCACTGCAGTCATTTCTTTATCTGCATTATCTCATCCAAGCACCTCAGCAACCTAGGAGGAAATATTTTTAGGTGTAACTTACAGATGAGGAAACTGAGGCACTGAGTGGTTACGTCACCAAGGCAAGGTTCACCAAGCAAGGAAGTAGCAGAGGTGGAATTCTAACTCCGGCTGGCTCTAGAACCTGACCTCTCATATACATGCTTGTGGCATGCCTCTAGAACAAGGACTTATGCCTGACCTTCTGACACAAAACAAAGCCTATGGTTGCAAAGCATGGGATTCAGAGTCCAACATGGAGCCTGGGGATGTTACTGACCATCACAAGCACCAGCTGGTAAACACCAGGCACTGTGCTGGCCCTTATGTATGTGAATGCTTAGCATCCTCACAGCAGCCTGAAAAGCTATGTGCTGGGATGATTCTCACTTTACACAAGAGGAAATTGAGGCATGGAGAGGTAATGTCATACAATCAGAGAGAATCAAACCCAGCTCGTTCAGCTCTTTGCATTCCCTGCCTCTTGTTATGGAGGTTGCAGACCACTGGGGCAGGGGTTTTCCAGGGAAAAGCACCCGGCAACCAGGAGAGACTTTGGGCAACTCTTAACATTTAAGCCTCAGTGCCAATGTAACTTAAAGCTAAGGCGAGAAAAAGTATAAGGAGGTGTGGAAAGAACTCAATGTCAGAACCAAGAAATGGAAAATTAACCTACCTTTGATAGGACTCCCAAAGGGGTCTACATCCTCGTCCCTTCCACCCCACGACGAGTCAACATGGTCTACCTGCAAAACTGAAGGAATAGGCATGCTTTAGGGCATGCACACCTCTGCCCCATGGGTGGGCTGCCACTGATCACACCTTCTTATTTCTAAGAATGTTTCAGGGAACCTTTATCCTAAGATCTCACTGCCTGAAGTCTAGTAATTAGTACCTTACCCAGTGGCCAAAGTAGGGGAAGGTGGCTTGCTTCTTGATGCCAGTGACTGGTACTGCTCTTGGTTCCCTGCTAGGAACCCCACACATCCTTCTGGGGTGGGAGGTGACCAAACTTTCCAGAGCCAGGACATGACCCTTACACCTGGTTGTGCTGAAATTAAAACTTTGCTCATGTTGATGGCTTGTCAGTCTTCGGGTTGGGGAGGGGGGCGGTTCTCACTTGCTGTCTTTTTGAGAGGCCCTCTTTTGAGAACCACAAGTTTGATGGATCAAGAAAGAACCATGTTTTATCAGAATTAATCATAAAATAGGCATTTTCTGGATGTCAAAATAGTGGAAGTAGTTTGGTACCCAGTAGAAACCTCGAGTGCGTGCCATCGAATGCAGAAGTGGAGAAAGTTACTTCAAACATGCCCAAAACATGCCCTATAGTTCAAATCCATTTCTGCCACAACGATTTGAAAAAGTTACCATTTAAGCAATTTTCACCAACAGACCTTTAGCACAAAATATTATTGTCTGAAAAAATGATATAGGAAAGCATTTATTATATTAAAAATTGTCAAATATACAATCACAAGGAACAAAAAAAGTATTTTTTTAAAAAATAGAGCTGGGCACATGGTTCACGTCTGTAATCCCGGCTCTTGGGGAGGATCGCCTGAGCTCAGGAGTTCGAGACCAGCCTGGGCAACATAGTGAGACCCTGTCTCTACTAAAAATTTAAAAATGTAGCCAGGCATGGTGGCATGCCCCTGTAGTCCCAGCTACTCGGGAGGCTGAGGCTGCTAGGAGCCATGATCAGACCATTGCACTCCAGCCTGGGCGACAGAGCAAGACCTTGTCGCAAACATAAATAGTCCAATAGAGGTTCTAGAAAGCGAACCTGATGCATGTTTTTGGTGCCCTCTCACTCGCCCCATTCTCTCTCTCCCCCCTTTTCTTTTGTAGTTAATGAAATTATCAGGAAGGAGTTTTCAGGACCTCCTGCCAGAAATCAGACGTAAAAGAAGCCATTATAGCAAGACACCTTGTGTATCTGACCCCTCGGAGCCCTCCACTGCCCCTCACCTTCTGTCTCCCTTCATGTTCATCTCCCAGCGGATCGAGTATGAGCACAAAGCGGACTCTCGCTTAAGGAGCTCACCACCTCCCTCTAAACATCAGAGAGAACTCTTCCTTTTGTTGTAGGTTTTAAATCCCAGCGAGCGTCCTGGTTGATCTTAATGGTGTTCCGTCCAAATATTAAGCGCCTGCTGACCAAAAGCACATTCTGCACGAGACAGGACTCTGGAACGCGCCTGAGAACAGAGTGACTGGAGCTTGGAGGGGTGGGCGGGGGACAGAAGATGTGGGCACGGCGATTAAACCCCAGCCCTTGCGTTCGTTTTTCCAGGTCACAGATACAGCTCCTGTACCTTTTGAAGGAAAGGAGTTCTCAGACAGAGCAACCAAAGGAACGTGACCCAAGAGCCCGGCTTACAGGCTGAAGAAACCCAAAACCCTCTTGGTAGAGACAGAAACTGAACCGTCAGTCCTTAGACCTCGCCCAGTCTCAGCCACCACTGGGCCACGGCTAAAGCTTTATTTTTGAATTCTCATTCCAAAACAAAAACTGTCTTGCGCAGACAAGATCACCTGTTAAGACTTCTTGGCGTTAAGTTATGACACGTATATGCGTTTGTTATTTTATTTTTTTCCTGCTTTAAAAAGCTGGCCAAGGCATCTAGCACTCCAGCTGTCTTGGCGAGCTTTTCTTAACCCCCGCAGCACGCCATCCTGCTAACACGATTTCCATAGACTTGGGGGGCTGACCCAGGCTGCAGAGAGCAAGCACCTGTCTGCTGTAGCTGCACAACCTAGATGCTTTGCAAGGTTCCAGCTTGCTCTCTTCCTAGCAGCCAGAGCGCTTTTCCATAAAGCAGTGGAGAATCTCAAGCAAGTGCGTTGAATTGAGGAATAGCAGAAGGGCTACAGAACCGAGAAGGGAAGTGTGGGTATTTTTGTTAAGCAAAACAGCCCAAGTGCTTCTGGAAGCGGGTTTCTACCAAGATAGAGGAAAAAGGCTGAATTCCCTCTATCCTAAATTCAAAGTGGGACAGAGAAGCTCAGGATGCTGTTCCAAGGTTCAGTGGTTAATTTCATTGTTTAATTTCACCTGAATCTATTAAAGCTCCCTTCTGCCCCTGAAGACCTGTCTGTATTAGAATTCCAACACAAAGAAATCTACTTGAATGCATCCTTCAGTCTGAATGAGCTCTGTTCAGACCAGTTGTGTGTTATATGTGATTTCCTTCCTTCCAACTGCTTCCATTGAGCGCACCCACGGTCTCCCCTAGTCCTCCTTTGGTGCGATTTTTATGATTTTTTTACAAACAAAATCCTCAAAGTTCTTGGCAGAGGTGTTTACTGCAGATACCCCAGGACCAGCGGGGATTCATTTTCAGCCATTCATTTGTTTACTCAATAATCCACAACAAAGTGAAAATATTCTTAGCACTCAGACTGTACTTAGAGCGTTTTCTCAGTTCAGTCTGTAGGCAGAAGGCCTAAGAAGAAAGTCATGGCCATTCAGTGCACACGGTGGGCTTTGTCAGCCCTGGCTCTCCTGTCAAGGTTACCCAGAGGCAAAAGCTTCCTGAGAGTGGGGCCAGGTGTGCTTGGCACTCCAGATAGAAGACAAAATGCTCAGATTCCAGCCTGCGCACTTGTATGCAACCTATTGGTCAATACCTAGCATTTATTTTTCCCTAACAATGGACGGCCTTTCCCTCACCCACCCTGAGCTCAGAGTTGAGCAACATTCTCTTTTAAATAAAGAGAATGCCAGTAAGAGGCTGACTCCCACCATAGAACTTCTGGGATGCTAAATACTTCCTTAGAACAAAACAAGTTCCTATACGAGCAGCTTCACCTAAAGACTTTTCTCTCCAGCAATATGGACTTCACTGGGGAAAAGCCAAGAGTGTGGTCAGTGATTTGTTCTCACTTGACCTGGCTAGGAGCCACTTTTTGCACATGGGGGAATTTGGCCTTTCCTCAGTTATCTGAATGTTTTACCCAAGTGCCTTCCTGCTATTGTAGCAAAGTAGCTCTGCTTCCTTGCCCACAAGGTGAAAAAGGAGTAATGCATTTTCCATCAGTTTATGTTTGCAAAAAGGCCTCCTGGTAGCTCAGCCTCCCGTACGCATGTGTGTGTGTAATACACACACAAACCCCTCTCTTTTTCTAGACATCTTAGCTGGATATTATAGGAAGCACTTTCCTAAACAACTATACCAAATAGCAAAGGAAAGAGAAACAAACGCATTAGATTTGAGACATAAACAGGCAAGAGAAAGTGTATTAGGAACTGACAGCTATCGAGGAAGTCTTTTTGGTCAGTTACAAATGCTAGGAGGAAATTTTGCCAAGAATGATGGCTCATGAAATATTTTCAGTATGGGAAGAGGCAATAAGATCCTCTAAGAGAACGAGAAAGTAGGGGTGTCTAAATGGTAAAGATGGGTGTGTTGCACGTGTGTTAGAAGGATCTCAGCTAAGTCAAGGTTTGCTCTTGCTATATCTAAGTTAACGTAAACATATAGCACTTGACAGACCTACCATGTTGCTGAATGTAGTATATTTCCAAAGTTTGCAAGTCTTCCTGTATTGTATAAAAATGCTGCTGCTTGATAATATATATAGCAATCCAGATTAATTAGTATGTTATTAAATTTTATTTTCTTACCTGTATTTTTATGCTTGTTACCTGTCCTCAAAATATTACACCCCTGTTGGAATTAGATTTATATTTATAAATGGTCAGAAATCTTTTGAAGCGTCTCTTTGTACACATAGGTTGACTCTGTTTTTCTTAAGAGAAATGACATGTTCTTGAAACATTTGTTAATCATTCCAGGAAACAAAAAGCCTTATCACAAAATCCCCACTCAGAGCCTGTTAGTCACCTGTATAGAAGACAGACAGCATCTCAGGAGAAGGAATGGCTTTGCGGAAGAAGGGCACCTTTTTCTTGCTCAAGAGTTATGCTGACTTCTTCAGCCCTGAGCCTGGATCTAGTCGCTGAGAATCATCAAGTGTCTAGATCTCCCTCCAAAACAAGTAGTCTAGTGGGTGATATTGATTTTAAAAACTGGCACCAAAACTCTGCCTTCATTGTAATGGAATTCGAAAAAGAATTCATGTTCACAGAACCCTCTGTTCAGGCTAATCTTTACAGAGGGGACCAAAGCTAAATCCTGGTAGGTAATTCCTGTAGGCTTTATCCAAAGGACAGTTTTCCAGCACAGACATAACCATGGATGAACTGATTCCTTCAAAAAAACTGGGAGGCACTGATACTGCATTTTTTTTGTTTACATCCAACAGCCAAGACATCTGCCGCAGTGAGTCAGTCTCGGAGACTGTCACATTTAGGCAGATCAGAAGTTGGTATGTTCTGTTTGTCACTCTGGATTACAGTGAGGCTGAATTTATCATGTCAAGGAAAAATAAAAGACCTCTCCAAGTGCTTTCTATTGCTCAGAATTGAAAGAATGTTTTCATTTCGAGTTTACAAGAGGCATGGATGGAGTTGTGACGTTCTTGACAAGCTGGGCTAACCTTTCCCGAACTCATTTCCTGGAGGCACGGTGCTTGGTGACCCAACACATCTTAACCTTGGGTCTCCTAGGCTGGAGGCTTGGGCATTAAGTTTTGTGGAACCAAAACAACCAACTGCATATAAGTATATTCCTGCATTCCAACTAAGTGCTTAAGAAAAAGCAGCATCACATACAATTGTGATCAGAATCATCCACTTCCCTCAGCCTTTGTGAGTGCCTTGACCTAAGCCAACATCACTGTCTTAACTGAGTGTTTAAAAACAAACTTTTCTGGTGGTTGGTAACAGAGAGATGCTCCCTGAACCCTCAGGGTCCTGGGAACTGGAAGTGAAAGGGTTATTAACATTCTACCTTTCTGCAGCTGTTGGTGGACTAAACTCCCTGCTGAGTTCAGGCTTTGAATGGAATGGATGCAAATGATGTTTCCATTAGAGCAGGTGCTCACCGCATTCTGATTGGCCTGAGCAGGCAGAGGCTGTGGCTGTTGGAACCACAAGCTTAGCATCCTGGACATCTTGTCAAAGAACCTCACTCACCCCTATGGCCTCTACAGACCTTAGAGGAGAGAAAACCAATACAGTTCTCCAACAAATAGAGATCTCTCCAACACGGTGGTGCTGGCAGGCTTAGGTTTGGAAAATCCTGACTGTTAAAGGCGTTTGAATACATCACATTCCTATGCAAATGTTTTTAATCTCCAGTTTAATGTAGTTTATTTTTCCTATATGTAAAGTATTTTTATACGGCTTGTATCATGATAGTTTAGCAATAAAACAGTTGGAAGCAACAGCTACTTTGGTGTATCTTTCTTTTCCAGAGAGTCTACTTAGATATTCCTTTTACATTTCGGGCTCACTCAGCAAGGAACATTTTGTGTGTGCACATAAGTGTGCGCATTTATTCCTCGTCTCAGCCCTGGGAGGTAGGTACAGTCCCACTGTGCTTGGGACTCAGGCTCAGAAGCCACTTGTCAGAGGTGTCAAAAACTGCATCATCAACCTGAATGTGTCTGATTCTCCCTAGCACAGCTCTGCTGTAATCTGTGCCTCTAGACTACTTTTGAGGTAGCAGCGATGAGAGATTTATGATGCCTACCCCAGACCAGCTCTCTAAGGGTCCCAAAGCATTTATAGTCAGCTGGGCTAAGCCAGCCACTTGGAAGGCAAAAGCCATCGTTTTATTTGAGCATCTTGCAGAATGTCAAGGTTAAAGAAAAAAATAAAATGCACCTTATACCTTCCAACCCATAAACATAAGTACTAGAACCTTCTAGCCAAGTTCTCCTTCAAACAGCATTTACCACCTGTAGCTAAAGCGCCTGAGAGGTTTGAAAGTAGCTTTTTAAAAGTCTTCCTGTGGTTTGAACCTCCTCCCACTCTTTAACCCCAGGGAAATGGAGTCCCTGCCCCAGGCCCTGTGCCTTAGAGACCACTCCACTCTACCATAGCCCCACACTTGGATGTTTACCTGGGAATTTTCTGGCGCTCCCCTACCCCGCATTCCAGTGCCTGGAACCAGCACTACCAAATGGGCAGGTGTCCCAAGCCCAGAGAGGGTCCTGCATGGGTCCTGGCTGCTGGAAGTGCCTATTTTGAAATGTCCTTAGTCTCCCTCTGGTGGCTGGGACCAGCTGGCTCCCATTTCTCCCATGCAGATGCCCCAAAGAGCTCCGGAACTTGCACCGACAGGGTGCAGAACAGCACCCCAGTGAGCAGACTGCTCCGGATGGCTGGTGCAGTATTTTCATTGTGATTTTTGTGGGATAGTGTGACCACCAGAAAGGCGCTGATTGAGGAATGGCTCAAGTTGCTTATGCAGACAGGAGCCCCACAGAAAATTTCTGCCCAGGGCCACATACCCGAGAGGCAACTCTTCCCCACTAAGACGATGCTACAGCTGCCGCCAACTGTTTTGCTTTAAATTAACTCACTTTCTGAAAATCTTATACCACTTCTGAATAGAAAGTCAAAATCACTTAAGTAGAGGACAAGGCTAAAACTATATAGTCATTTAAAAAAACACACTTCTGGGCCGGGCGCAGTGGTTCACACCTGTAATCCCAGCACTTTGGGAGGCCGAGGTGGGAGGATCACAAGGTCAGGAGATTGAGACCATCCTGGCTAACATGGTGAAACCCTGGCTCTACTAAAAATACAAAAAATAGCTAGGCATGGTGGTGCACACCTGTAGTCCCAACTGCTTAGGAGGCTGAGGCAGGAGAATTGCTTGAACCCGGGAGGTGGAGGTTGCAGTGAGCCAAGATCGTGCCACCGCACTCCAGCCTAGACGACAGAGCGAGATCCCATCTCAAAAACAAAAAGCAAAACCCTAAAAAACCAAGTCTGCGTTCTATATTTATATGTGAGCCACACTTCATTAACACAAATTTGGCCTGTGCCTCAGTTTCCCCAGATATAAAATGAAGACACTTGTCCCCACCTCACAGGTACTGCATGCTTCATCAATATTAGCTATTGCTCCACTGTCCTATCATTTAACAAACAGATTTCAGATTCGCCTAAGGCTTCTCCTGGGCACTTGAGCTCATCTTAGGACCTCATTTGACTATATCTGGAAGAAAACATTTAGAGCTCTGACAATGGAATTTTAATTTTTCTAAATAGATCATTAAAGCCAAAAACCTGAATTTATCCGATTCTCAAAACCTGAGATGACAAGGAAATTTGTACTGGCGCATCTTGGGGTGACTTTGCCAGGAGTTTGCAAATCTGAACATGTTCCTTGCTGTATCCAACAGCATGATGAGGTTTCATACAAAGGAGTAGAAACAGAGCGGTGGTTTCATGCCAGGTTGGAATTTAAGAAGTGGTAAGACTGAGAGGACAAATGCTGAACTCCTACTCAGCCTCTTCAGGTTCATAAATTGGAAGGAAACTGGGTTCCTGGTAAAACCAGGCTGAGTATAAAATAATGCTGAGTGCAGAGGCACAGAACCACAAGAACCTTTAAGAAATGAAAGTGAAGTCATTTCTTTTGCCTGAGGATCCCCAGTAGCTGTGATGAGGTATACGAACGTGCTTGCTATAAACCTCATGACATTTTGCAGTTCAAAGATGGACAACATCGGACCAAACTTTCTCCAGAAAGGGCTTCTCACTCTGCCTCTTGCCCTGCCCTTCTGATAAAATCCCCAAGCTGAGCTTTGTAAATGGCCCGATGTGGAGTTATCAAAGAAACGAAAACCCCCTGCTGTATATTGCCCTGTCCTCAGCCCTCTAGGAAATCCCGATTTACCAAAAACTTCAAGCTCTGAAGCACTGGGCTGGACTTGAGGCAGGAAGTGCAATCCCGAGTCACTCTGCTTCCCAGAGGCTATGCTTTTTACATCAGTGGGCCTTACGTTTTTTGGAAATGGGGACACCTCACCGACACAACTTGAAAACACATTGCTAACAGTTTCTGCTGCTGTGCAAAGTGTCAGAGGATATTCGATGAAGAACCCTCTGCCCTTAATACGATGGGAAGAAGGCATTCAGAGGACAACCGTGGAGGGGATGATATTTACACCTTCACATACACACGCCAGACTCCTTGACCCGCCATGCGCCTTCTTCTCTTTGGTAGCCAGGAGGCATTTTGAACTCAACATGCCCCCAAATTTCCTGACTCCCAATCTCCTCTTTCTCACTCCCCCAACACACACCCGTCTTACTCATCGGTTTATGGCAACACCATCTATGCAGTCACTTCGTCAAAACCCTGGGAATAACCCTGGCTGTCCCCATTGCCCACATATCAGCAAATCCTGCTGGGTCCATTCTGAAATCATCCCACCTCCATGCTTCCTCTCCCCAGAACATCCCTGTCTCCTTCCTGGATGACAGAGCAGCCCTTTGCCTACCCCTCATGCACTCCTGACCTCCCCGTCCACACAGCAGCCAGATAGAGCTTAAAGCCGCTTCAGATCCTATCAGACCCCTGCTTCGAGCCCTCCGCGGTTTCCCTTTGCATTCAGGATGATCCAGGCAAGAGGCTCAGCCACCTTCCTTGGTGGCAAGTTCTCCAGCCTCACCTCCGACTCCAATCCAGTCCTCTTTTCTGTTCCTTGCCCAGACCACACCATTCCCCACCTCTGTCTCCTCCTACTAAACCTTTGATCCTCAAGTTTCATGGACTGGCTCTTCCTCATTCTTCAGCTTTCCAATGAAATTCTTGTCCTCAGAGGACTTCAGTGACCGCTCACCGCCATGTGGGACCTGCCCCACGCCCCACCCACACACGCACTCGGCCTGGCGTATGACCAGGTAAACCTGTTTGGATTACCATGTGCATGTTTACTGTCTGTCTCTTGCCCCTGTAAATTCCATGGCAGCCACGACTGTCTTGATTTGCTGAATGCTGTGTCTCTACACCCTGGCATACGGTACAGTGGGCCCCCCAGGAACCGGGCGTTAAATGAGCAAACATGCCTTTCCTGTGCTCGGAGAACAATGGGCTCATCTGGAATGCATGGAAAATTAATCATTTCCTAATATTTAACACATTTTTTAAACCAAACAACTGACTCAAGGGAGACTTTTCTTCTGCCCATATGGCTTGGTTTACTCATCCCTAACTACACGGCAGCGTATTCCAGCCTGTCTTCTAGAAAGAGCCAGTTCCCTTGGCTGCAGAAACCCATAAAGACCATGATTCCCTCGAATCCTGGAGCCTGCCAGGCCAGTCACCTGCTTTCTGGCAGCCTGTAGTCACCTGTGGCCCTCCTGCTTGTAAAATGCTCACTGCTGTGGCTCAACAGCTCCTCAGGGACAGGTAAGAGAAGGGCCAGGCGGCCAGCTGCCGTTTACAAGCCAAATCTGAAACCGGCTTCTCAGGGGAGTCTGTTTGACAAGGTGAATAATGGATTGTTTGCAGCAGAGAGGCACGGCCAGCGCCTGCAGCTTGCTAGGTTAGTGCTGACGCGCTCCGCCTGGGCGCCTCTCCATCTGCTCCTCCCCAGATACACCTGCGGCCATGCAGTCCGGGAGCCCACGTTCTCATTTATCCTCCCCAGGGTGCAAATAAGCCCGGGCACCCTCTGTGCACTGCTGGGGTCTTTGACACAGACCTTGTCCCCTGAGCTGGGCTCCAGGACCTGGAGGTGTGAGGGCAGGTTTTCCTAAAATCTGCCCCGCCCCGTGGACACCACCCTGATCCCCAAACCAGCACTGCACAGAGTAGGTCCAGGGCCCCTCGGAGAGTCAGGCAGTGGGGGTCCCAGGTCCCATGACTTCCATCTCCCAGGGCTCATGGCCTCCCCGCCAGGACCAGTCTCTTTTGCCATTTATCCCTGTTCATGTCACTCTCATCTCATCCCCTGTGGGTCTCACTCTGACACCCATGTGGCTCAGACTCCACTTTCTGCCCCCCCCAGCCCCATGAAATGCTGCTGCTTACACCTCTGCACCTCACTGCCCACCAGAAACAAAACCCCACATCCTCAGTCTTCCCTCCCCCAGGGCCTGCGTGTCTTTGTCCTAGCAGAAACCCACTGCGCCAGCCCTGTCCCCTTACAGGCCTCTGCGACAATGAGCACAAACTTAGCGGCTTAAAGTAACACAAATTCATCACCTCACAATGCTCGAGGTCCAAGGTCCAAAGTGGGTCCCACGGGGCTAACGTCCTGGCGTCAGCAGAGCTGTGCTCCTTCTGGGGACGTTAGGGGAGAAGGTTTCCTCATCCTTTCCAGCTTCTCTGGAAATCAACATGGCCGGCCGCATTCCTTAGCGCTCAGCCCTCATCTGCTGGGCCAACCATCCCATCGTTCTGATTCCACTCCCAGCCTCA